AAAAATGCTGGCGGCGCCTTGGAAAAAAGGAGTCGGGAGCAGTTGCCGGTAAAACGCGAAAAACTGCGCACGCCCAAAAAGGGCGCAAGGCAACGGAAACCCCGCCTCCTGCGCTCGCCAGCTGGGCTCTGCCCTAGGAAGGAGGCTCTCGCAAACCACTTCCGAAACACCTGCCTTGAAAACTGCAAGGACTCGTCCAAGCAGTCACTGCAGAGTCGGTAATGACTGAGCGCAGGGAAAAAAAAAAAAGGTCTGCAAACTCAAAATCTTTGCTGCCATCTTGAGGTCATCTGGATTTTTGAAGCCCAGATTTGGTGGTTCTAGTGAATACAGCTTCTGAAAGAACTAGTGTTGGGAATTAGTGATTCACATAGAAAGGAAGCCCTTCAATGATCCCAGCTTTCTTGATAAGTGGAAATGACTTGTCGGTGGTTGGAAGCAAAGGTTTAACTAAGACAGGAAGGGAAGGTTGCATCTTGAATGAGCCTGCCTTACTCTCTCAAGGGCTCAGCATTGGATTCATCCTTTTCCAATTTCTGTCCCTAGGCTTCTGGAAGAAAGGAAAATAGTATTTCCTTCTAGTCTTTCAGTTAATGAGTTCTACAGCTGAGAGGCAGAAAAAAGGTCAGACAAAAATAGAAATGAAAACAACCTCTGCACTTCTGTTATGTAAATATGAGCCAGAAGCATGCCTCATCAGTGGCAGGTGTTGTTGTTGTTGTTGTTGTGGTTGGGGGACTGTAGCTCTTCCTTTCCCTGCCTCTCTGTAAAACTGATATTTGCATATCAAGAAAAACGCCTGTATCTATTGAGATCCCCTCTAAACATAAATAGCAGCTTTGGAGAAGCATCTGTTGGAAAGGCCATGACGGGTAACATAGAAGTAGGACACCCTTCTCTGGATTCTACCTTTCCCCTTCCTCCATTCCCTGGATGCTAGTGGTCAGGCTTCCCAGTAGTTATCCCCATGGCAAAAAATCCATTTACATGAAGTGCAATTAGACGCATACTGGGTTTGGTTCTAAAGAAATTGCTTTTGGGGAGAAGTGTGGTCATGAGAGACCTATGCCTAGACCCATCAGAGCACAGAGAGTGCAAGAATGTGATTTTCCTGCTATTAGAAGCAACTGGGATAACTGCTAGTAACAATCCTTGTATATGGTATTAAAATGGTGCATCCTTCTCCTTTCTTTCTCTCAACACAAAGAAAGCATATTCTACAGCATTCGTAGTCAAATGGACCATTCAGCATAGGAGCCCAAGCTTAAGCAAGACAATTTTATTTCTTTCTTTATTTGGTATTTATTTTGAAAGGAAAAAGTGAAAAAAAAAAGAAAATACATAAAAATTACAAAATACAAACATTACATGGAAAAGTTTGTGGAATAACGTAAGGTAAAATTAAAAGAAAGTGCAAACCATTCCATTGGAGGAAACACCTCACTTTTGTCCTTATATATCAACTTGCATGGAACAAATACAAAGATAGTTTCACGAGAGTTTTACATTTTAGCACTTTCAAAACTGCTGTATTAACCTAGTATTAAAATGAAATTAGATTAGCTAAGAAATCTATCTGATAAAAATAAACATAGCTTAGGAGTTTAGAACCCTTATTTGAAGAAAATTCAAACTTTAGATATGGCAGCAAACTTGTACTCCATAAACAGTTTCCAGATTAAATTGAAACAAACATCAGACCTGTTTTTCATGTGTGAAGCTATTTTAGACAGCTTGATATAAATTCCCATAGTTTAAGTTGCCATTCCTCTAATATAGGGATTAAAGGTAATATCCAATAAAAAGCACAAAGTATCCTGATGCCAGTTACTATATGTAAAGCCAGTTCAACGAATATAATCTTTTGTACTAGTTATCAGAAAAATAACTGGTGACCAAGATAATTTTAGTGGCATGTTACTTTCTTCCTTACACCTTTGTAATGAACAAGGATGGGGGGACATAAGTGACTCTGCTTGTGGGGAAGTGGGTTGAACCCGGTGGTCATTTGGGCTTTCTTTTTCCTGTTGGGACAACAATAACATATGGATGCCGGAAATGTGGAGGGGAAGGGAGGGAGGGCATTTATTTGCTTGTTTCTGAGATTTGTGGAAGAAGCAAAATAATTGTCACCATTTTATGTCTGCAAGATTCTTTAATCAGGCTTCCTGACAGGTTAAAGAGCCCCATAGGAAGTACTGGATTCTGTCAACATCTTCAATTCACTCTTCAACTTCAGAAGAAGATACCTTGCCTTTCCTGTAGCTGTGGCATGGTTCTCTTGGTTAAGATCTGCAAACAGCTTTCTGCAATTTTACTGCTCTTTGATTTGTAGCAAGTTGTGTCTAGATAAATTGAGTTGACCAGTGGAGGAGTAGAAGGATGGGTTGGGTCTCTTCGAGTACTGTGAAAATACTCCCACCAATAAGTGAGACCTTAAGGATCTCCTGGTTCAATCTCTGATGTTGGACAATGAAAGCTGTTGCCAAGCACCTATGATATTGGTTGTGCAGAGTCCAAGCATCTCATGGGGAGAAAGAAGTTGTGGTATCAGTTTCTGTAGGAACAGAACTTCTACTGTTCTTCTGGTATGTTGACCATCGCCAGAGCTGCTCTTGATTGATGCAGCCCATGTCTTTAAGAAACCGGAGGACATCATTGCGGAACTTAACCCCTATGAAAGCATACAGGAAGGGGTTGAGACAGCAGCGGAAGCAAGCCAAGCTGTAAGTCACATCATTAGCCACATCTAGGCTTTTGACAGCATTGCACTGGCCAGTGGTTCGGTTGTACTTTGAAATGGTCTGGAGGACGATGACGCAATTGTAGGGGAGCTGAAGGAGGATAAAAGCTATCATGACTATAACAAGGATTTTGATTACATGTTTTTTTTCAAAGCTGTGGGGTTGCAGCAAGTTTCTGATGATGACACTATAGCAGAAAGTCATTACAAACAGAGGTAGGCAAAACCCAAATACCATCTGAGATACTTTGATACTTAAGGATATACGATCACCTGTGGCAATGGAACATTGTGGTGGTTGTAAAGCAGATTCATAAACACCAGTATGGACCACTTCCGGGACAGAAAATATGAAAGCCAATGTCCAAATCAAGAAACAGGTGACCTTGCTGGCAAACATTCTCTGAGACCGAAGGCGGTGGGCTGAAGTTGCCTGGACAATGGCAAAATACCTGTCAATGCTGATGGAGAGAAGTAGCAGCATGCCACTGAAGAAACTCATCTGGCAGATGTGGTAGATGGCTTTGCATGCAAAATCCCCGAAAACCCAGTGCTTGGCTGCACTGACAGCCCAAAATGGGAGAGTCAAAAGAAAGAAAATGTCTGATAAGGCCAGGTTGAATAGGTAGACATCAGTCATTGTCTTAAGCCTCTTAAAATAGATGTAGGTTGCCATGACCAGACCATTGCCTGCCAGTCCCACAAGGCATATCAAGGAATATGCAACAGGAAGAAAAATATTACGGAACTTCCGGATCTCATCTTTCTTGCAGATCTCTTCAAATAGACTGTAGTCAAGATGGGAATAATCTTCAGGGTTGTAATCCATTGTTACCTGGCTCTCTTTAGTAGCATTTTCAACAAGACTGGAGTTGTTATTTAACACAAAGTCACCTTTGCAGAACTAGAAGGGAGATAAAACATGGGTTATTTCTATCTTCCCACATTCTCTTAACTTCTTTTAATAAAGGAAACAGTCTTCAGATAAGAATGGCCTGTTCTGAGTGTCATTCTTTAGAGAACATCTGCATAACAGACTAATATTTGTTTTATTTCAGTTGAATTATGGTGGTTTCCTTCCTTTCCTTTCTAATCCTAGAAAACAATAGTTTAATGAGGCTACTGTTAGAAGACTTTAGTTTATAGTTTCCAGAACTTCCTGGGATGAAGGAATAATGTTTCATCCTATACTTGGGGAAGAGCTTAGTAAAGTAAGTAAAGTCTCCTTGAGTGGAGTTTCATTCCTGGTGACCATGGACAAGGACATGTAGTATTCTTATCAACAATACAGAAATGCTTTGTCATGGACTCTGCAGGTGTTTTAGACTTTGGTCCACCCAAAAGCTCTGTGTTTCCTGGTGTTCCCCAATCCAAGTGCTAATCAAGACTGACCCTGCTTAGCTTCTGAACCCATACAAGATTAGGCAGGAATTGCCACATGCTGAGAAAAAACAAAAAGGACTTATGCAAACCCATAAAGTAGAGGGGGGGAAACTATGTGGAATAATATCTATGCAGTTAGCATGCATACATACATACCCATCATATTATTCTCTCTTGGAGTAAGCAGCATTATGCAAGGCACAGAAGAATATTGAGAAGTAGGAGCAAAAGAAATTAGAGGCAGCAGATAAAAGAATCTAACTAAATCTAGCTTAACCCAACACTATTCACTATATTACTTCTCACTCTTCTATTCTTGCAAATCATCCTTGCTTCACCACATACAGACATTGCCTATTGTTCTTTAAGCTTCTTGCCTTTCTTTTTTTGAGGACCTCATCAGCTCTGTCCAGTGAAGGTTTTCTGGGTCTTCCCCTTCTTCTCAACCCATCCACTCTTCCTTCCTATATTTACTTGTGTTCAATCCTTCTTCATTTCAGTGTACTTTTTTGGTTCTCACCATTCATTCATTCATTCATTCATTCATTCATTCATTCATTCCTCACTCATTTTTTTATCCTATCTCTTGTTTAACCATACATAAGTATGCCTTTCTTACTGCATTCAGCTTTATGTTTCTGTACTTACCCAACTCTCAGTTCCTTATAATGAAGAGGACAAAAGCACCCTTTTATACAGAGGCAATTAATTTTCTTTTGACAAATCTTCTAGACCACATATTGCTCATGATCTTTCTACCACTATTTGCAGAAGATAAAATATCTCCATCCATTTTCTGACCTTTAGTAAAACTTTCTACCATGGTACACAAATGTAACTATTTTCATAATTTTGTCACCATTTATGTATTGCTTGCAATCATTTACTCCATTTTCCCTGTCAAACATAACTACCAGGGTCTTTGAAACACTGATATTCAAATTCATATCCTGTGATACATCATACAGTTTAAAATTTGCTGCAAATTGTTTAGGTTGCAGTCAGCAATGCTGCATTATCTGCATACAACGTACACATACATGTACATTACAAGCCATCATCACATCTCAAGCACTAAACATTCAGGGGTTATCCTTGATCATATCCTTATTATATTTCCTGTTCAGTGTTGAATCATTTGCTAAACATTCTATTTATTTTCACATATGCTTTTACTTCCATCATATACAGGTCATTGCATTCAGCAACCAATCTTCAACATCAATTCAAGCTAAACATTCCATAATTCAAATGCTTTCTCTAAATCAACAAACATTTATTTTTGCATGGTTATTTTTCCCTCTATAAAAGAGAACAATAATAGCATTCTTTCAAATGTCACGCATGGAAGTAGTTTTCACACTGATGTTAAAAATATTGCACAAGTACTCCATAATCAGATCATATCCATATTTTAACATTTTTACAGCTGCATCTTCTATAACTGCTGCCATAATACTTTTAAATTTTGTCATAGCACTTTTCACTTCTTTTTCATTATTTTTTCCTGGAGATTAACAGTTATAACCTTGATTTCAATTCCACTCTTTGTCACATCATTACCATCCCTGCAGACATTTCTAAAATACTCCTTCCTGCTTTGCTGCACTTCAGTTTCATTCCAAATTATTTCATCACTGTTATTCTTAATCCCATTAATTCTGCTGGAAGCTCCTTTTTCAGCTCTTCTCACCTACTTCCAAAACTTTTTTAAAAATTTCCATAAAAATTTATTGGTATTTTCTCTGCCTCTTTTATTCTTAAATCTTTGCTCTTTGACTGTAGTCTTTTGCAGTTCTTTCTCAGTATATGCAGGTTATACAGTTTTCTTTTCTCATTTTTGCATTATACAATGTCTTTCCCTCATTCTTACTCTATTATATGCATTTTTTCCTCATTCACAGCCTCTTTCATTTCATCCTTCCAGTTTGGTCTAGTGGTTCAGGCATCAGGCTGGAAAGCAGGAAACTGGGAGTTCTAGCCCCACCTTTGGCATGAAAGCCGGCTGGGTGACTTTGGGCCAGTCATGCTCTCTCAGCCTAACTCACATCACAGGGTGGTTGTTGTGGGGAAAATAGGAGGAGGAAGGAGTATTATGTATGTTTGTCACCTTGAGTTATTTCTAAAAATAATAAGGAAGAATAATTTTTTTTTTAAAAAGCATCTTTTTGCACAGTGGCACTCTGTAATATAACTTTTTATTCTGTTCTAAGTAGCTTCCACATCTCTTGATCCAATTTCCAATCAATCTGTTGGAAGATTAATCTATCATCTAATAACTTTTTCATATATAAGTTCCTTCATTAACTCTGCTTTCCTTCACTGTTTTCCTTTTCTTTTATGTCCATTTATTCCTAGGATTTACTCTTGACATTACCAAAAAATGGGCTATCCCACATTCAGAATCTCTGAGTGGCCTTGTATCCTTCAATAATTATTCTTTCATCAGAAACAATCACATTAATAATGCCTCAATTTCATATTAATTCCTTTTCCATGTGAATGCACGAACAGACTTATGCTTAAAACAAATACCTGAAGAAAACAGACCTTCTTCTAAGCGGATACTCACTTACTCATTGTTGAGTTTCTAAATGGCCCAATAACTTTTTCCATACTTTCCTGTCTTGTTCTCATTCGTGTCATTTTCCTCAGATCACATGCACTCAGAATGCTCAACAATTCTTTTGCACAAATTCAGGCCTGCTTCTGTTGTTATCACCATTGATTATCACGAGAGAAGAGGGGCATAGTTGCAGCAGCCTAAAGTGGCCAACTGGAGCTGGGCAGTTCCCATACCTGACTGTGTCGACAATCATATCCTTGATGAAGTGTACTGGATTGCATCACTGGCAAGAATTGTGTCAGGAGAAGAGAGAAAACGTGGCTTTAAAACTGGAACAGCTAAAGATGACTTTAAGCTGCCTCAGATCTGGTCTAAAGGTAAGACAAAGACAGTACTCTAAGGATATATAATTTAAAAATGGTTACCAAGACATGATCTGTTCTGTTTAGGGGGATGATGAGAATCAGCTCTGAGTGCACAAGTGCAGAAATGGCTTTAAAAATACTTTCAAAAAGTAAATAAGGGTGTGGTATTTTGTATTGGTAAAGTGATAGAAGAGATGCTAATTATAGCCTGGCTCAACCCAGATCTTACTAAGGGTCAAACATGCAAAATTCCTATCAGAGTGGCTTGGAAGCTTTCACTCCAACGTAAGTCTTATATTTGGGGGGCAAGAGAGATGCTGAGTAGACGTTTCCCCTCAGACTCCTGATTTATCCTTACATGAACACGGGTTATTTTAAAAATAAGTTGTGCAAAGGGGGGGGAAAGATGTGCAAATAACACTTTGTCTATCTGAGCTCTTAGATTTCATTCTCAGTGAAAGCTTTTATAAAACACTTTCTCAAATTGCTGCAACTTTGGTGTGTTGAAATTGCAACTCCCAGAATTTAGAATCTTCTGGCTGGAAATGGTTGGAGTTGCTGTTCCAATATATATAGAACACTTCAAGATGGGGAAGAATGTCACAGAACAAGATTTATTCAAGGTGGGAGGAAGGTATCCATATGAAGTATGTACATTCAGAAGAGTTGGACACGACTTAACGACTGAACAACAACAACAACAATATTCAGAAGTAAAGTCCCACTGAATTCAGATGGTATTATTACTCCAAGGTAAATAGGCACTGGATTGTAGTGTATGGACCAGTGTTTCTCAGCCTTGGCAACTTGAAGACGAATGGACTTCAACTCCCAGATTTCCCCAGCCAGCATGGGTGGCTGGGGAAATCTTAACCACGGTACAAACAAGTTCTGGTAACTTTCTTTTTCTGCTGTGTCACCATGACATTGCCTATGTCTCATCCATAACTGAGGACTGAGAAAGATTTAAGTCATCTTTAGCTATGCCTGTATTAAACTAGTCCTCCACTCATTAATCAGACACTGTCCAAGGACAGCCTCAAGGTGTAAAATCTATTAGATTTGTCACTTTGAAAGGAAGTCAGATGACTGCTGTGATTAGAACAGAAGCAGGATTGGAATCAGCCAGGGAGAGAGTTAATATCAGCTGATACAGCTTTCTGCTGAATCAAGGATGAGTGAATAGCACTTCATCTCAGCAGTGGGGTGGAAACTGTGAGCTGTGAGATGAGATGCCATATAAATAATTTAAATTCATACATACATACATACATACATACATACATATATAAATACATAAATGCTCAAAGTACACTTTACTTTTTGGGTGGGAATTGGAATACTTAAAATAGACGAATGCTGTTTATGTAGCAAGAACACATAAAGGACCAATGTGTAAAGCTGAGATTACCTTTTATCAGTGGAGATTTTATATCTAAATTACAGACAAGACTTATTTATGGTTTCCTGAAAGGTAGCTTATAGATCTTTCTATTTAGCATGAAGACAGTTTGAAAAAAAGAACCCAATAGGATAAGGAAGAATTGTAAATAATGTTTTGGGAGTTGTAAAACCTACAATATGCCCCCAAATGTACCAGAAACAGCCTACAGATGCTGTAAATGGCATTAGATATAAACCACAGTAGGGAGTGTTCTTGATTTTGTTCTGAGATAATATCAACTTCATTATAGAAAAGTGTAATATTCCTCCCAATGGTTTCGATACATATGAGGGCAAAGCCAGATGGTTCCATTGAAGTGCTATCCATCAGTCTTTAAGATGGGAGAAAATATGCCAGCATCAAATTTGCTTTCCCCATCGCTGAGCCCTGTTCTATCACAGCAATGAGGCCAACAAGTAATACTGTCCTTGTTTTAATGCAGGGCAAATTAAGGAAAATGATTGGTGGATTCTCTGACTCGTGCTGCAAAAGAATAGCAGTGTTGGCAATTAATTCAATTCTGTCCTTGTGACAGCAGTGGCCCAAAATATTGTGTGGATGGCCATGGATCCAAAATAAGTATGCAAAATAGTGCTCCTACCCCAGTACTATAACAGAAAGAGTAAAAAGCATGGTCATGTGAAAGCCTTTTTTGGCAGAAGCAGTGAAAACTTGCAATACACCCAATGGTGACAGAACCAGCAACACATAACTGGCAGAACCCAGCTCTCTTTCCTAACTTAAATCAAGCTTCTGAGCAGCACAGGACTACCAGTCTTTCAAAAGAGTGCTAAACCAGTATCTAAAAAGTAGGTTCAATGCTCCTTCAAAACAGTGCTAAATCTGTGTTTGTAAAGAATACATATAAGACCTGACAAGTGTTCTGTGAAGTGCAGTCAGCTGTTATACAGGAGCTAGATATCACTGTGAGAACCAGGTATCTGATTTATCCTACAGCCTAGCCAAAATGATCATGGAAAGCTGTTCTCAGTGACCTGGAGGGAAGGGAGCATTCTCACAGTAGCCTAAAGTGGCCAAGAGGAGCTGGGCAAAACTCATACCTGACTGCACCATCAGCCACATCATTGATATAGTGTATTACATTATACCCATGAAGAAAAATGTGTCATGGAAAGAAGATAAAGGAAGTTTGAGAAGTGGAACACCTACAAATGTCTTTAAACAACCTTTAAAGTTAGCTGGAGATAAAACTAAGACAATATGATGAGGGCATAACGTTAAAAAATTGTTACCAGAACATGTTTGAGTTGTGGTTAGAGGAGCATGAGTTTGAAACCCTGAGTTACGCTTGGGGTACAAACATTAAAATCAAATTTATTTGTGTTGGTCAAAGCAAGGAAAACTGAAGTTTATTCTGGAAAATTCCAGAAAGTAATCTAAGATTCAGTTTCACTGGGAGTTTAAGACAGGCAGAAGGGTTGGCTCTGTGAAGGAGTTAGCAGAATGATGGACAATTCCTAATTAAATGGTGAAGAAAATGAGAATTCCATTGACCCAAATTTTGATTGAAGATGGAAGAAGGGTGGAGCAGTGAAGGGAAGAAAGAACGGGAGCAGAACAGGTTAAAGTATCTGAAAATTGGAAATAGATGGGATGCAAAAGCAGTGGTTAAAATGTTAGTAAAAACTGGGGAGAGGCAGAGGAAAAAAGAGGGGTGGTTTGGAAAGGGCAAACAGAAAGAAGGAGAAAGAGGACACCACAGGGATGGGCGGAGGAGAGTGAAAAAATAACCATGCATTGGGAGGCACCTGCCTTATGGTTTTGAATCATCATCATCATCATCATCATCATCTAGGCTTTGTGCTGAAACCATGTGGTGGGTACAAGACACAGATTAGTGGAACAAAACAGAATGACACTGGTGCAAGCCTTTGGGGCTGGCTGGGGTCATTGTTGGTTTTGGGGTGCTTCCTACCTCCTTACAGGAGGCATGTGAGTTACCCATTTTGTAGAGGAAGCATAAATCCCAGGCTTGGTAGAATGAAATGGTATGAAACTGGTACAAAACTTTGGAACAGGTTTTCAGGGCTCATCGCAACATCTTTTTAGGCATTTCCTCTTGAACCCCAGATTGAAAAGTTTGTACTCCCTTAACAATGGGGGTACAAAATCCACAGTTGATAGAAAAAAAGTGCCCCAAAATTTGGGTCTCAGTTTTAGCTTCGGGTGGAAATCAAATGTTGGGTTTGCAGTTACTGAACCCTGCTATACTGGATTCAGTGAAAGAGCCACATCCTGTGGGTTTACTTGAAGCAGCATTGCCTAAAAAGGAAAGAGGACAAGACAACCTCCCTTGGGCTGTCTCTACCTGTGTGAAAGTGAGTGAGCCAAGAGGAAGAAGAAGAGCTGATCCACAGCACTCAAGTGAAACTTTGCCACCAACCTAACCGCATCGCTTTCATCAAGATTAGCCCGTGAGGTCAGGAGATGTGGTTTGTTGTTTAGCAACTACATTTGTACTTAGCAATCTTCACCCCATGAACTTAACTGCAACCCCCTCCCCCCATCCCTAGTTTATGCCATGCAGGCGGGGTCAAAGGGGGGGGGGTTGTAGTCTAACTTATTTGAGAAGTAACAGGTTAGAGTTGGCTGGTTTCAAAATAAGAATTTCCATGCTTTTGCCAGGCCAAAAACTTACTAATCTCAACTTTTGTTTTCCACATGATGAAAAAAGACGCCTCTGGAAAGCGCAGAAGCTCGACTTGAGAGAAGAGGAGCCGCACACCCCCTTAGCTGTATAAAGCTCCTTTTCATTAACTTATTTATGTACAAAAAGCATAAACAAGTCAAAAAGGCTTCCAAACAACTTGTAAAATTCAGCAGGGAACCAGTGGCCATAATCTGATTTGTCCATGGCTCAGAGAATAAATCTCAGTGGCTGGGGTCAACTTTCTTGTTAAGCCATAAGCCATGGTTTACAGATTGTGGCTGCATTCATATGGCATGCAGGTAGTCCCCAGTTTAAGAACGAGTTCTGTTCCCAAGGTCTGTCCTTAAGTTGAATTTGGATATAAGCTGGAACAGTATTATTGTATAATACTGTATAAGTAGTATTGTGTAATTAAGTGTATTGTCGAAGGCCAGCAAGAGAGGCACAGAGAGAACTGCTCCTGTCTGG